CTCTCTCTCTCCCACTCTATCTGAACAGAAATGGAAAAATGTCCTCGGTTGAGGATAAAAAAAATTTTTATTTATATTTTTGAATGAGATAAAAGCACATAATAGCCCTGGACGGTTTGGCTCAGTGGTTGGAGCATTGGCCTGTGGACCAGAGTCCCAGGTTCGGTTCCCGTTAGGGGCACGTACCTAAATAAATAAATACCATCAAATCATATTTTTAAAAAAGCACATAATAAAACTGCTTATCGTTATATATAATATACAGTTTTGGAGTCTGAATGTGAACTAAAATGTTAAAACTTGTTTTATAGGATAAAATTGAACCTTTAAAAAATTATACTTTGACTTTACTGTAATACAGTATTTTTGAACATCATGGCAACTCTTATGGACTGTCTACATGCTATTCCTGCTTCTTGCCTACTAACCAAACCCTGTATCAGGCAACAGGATGTCCATAAATTGCAGAAAACTGGTCCAGCCAGCCCTCTTCACCATTGCCTTGTCTAAGAATGGGTATGTGGCCCAGTTCTATCAAGGAGACACAAGTCTCTTTGGGCTTCTGAGGAATATTCTTTCCTGGTAAGAGCACAATGAGAAAGTTCCTTTACTGCTGTCTGCTTTGGTTTTGGACACTATCATTTGAAGAAGTAATGCTGAGCTCTAACTGCCACTTTGTAACATTGAGAATGGCAGAAAATTTTGAAAAGGTTTTGGCTTCTACCCAGTTCTGGAACAACGTATCTCTAGACTTATTACATGAGATAATTAAGCATTCTTATTGCTTACATCACTGTCAGTCTAGTTTCCTGTTACTCACGCCACCCATATCCTAATAGAAGCATTTTTCTGTCTGGCACCAAATAAATGCTTTAAGACCACTCTAATTTAACAGCAACTGTATAAAAAAACTATCTCATTTTTAAATTTTTTTTTTGAGTCCCCATGCAAGGATATGTTTTTATTGATTTTAGAGAGACAGGCAGGGAGAGAGAAACATCAATGTGAGAAACATTGACTGGTTACCTCCCATACAAGCCCCGACCAGGGACTGAACCTGAAACCCAGGTATGTGCTCTGACTGGGAAATGAATCCGCAACCTTTAGATGTACTAGACGACACTCAAACCAACTGAGCCATAGGGCCAGGGCCATCTCAATTGATTAATACACACACACACACACACACACACACACACATATGTATGTTTATATAATATATACACACACACACATACATATATATGCACACACACATATGTATATATGTTTTTTTTATTGAATTTTAGAGAGAGAGAAGGAAGAAAGAGAAAAAACATTGACGTGAGCGAGAAACATCGATGGGCTGGCTGCCTCCTGCATACCCCCTACTGAGGATCGAGCCCACAATCAGGGCATGTGCCTTGACCTGGAATCAAACTGGCGATCTTTTGGTGCATGGGACAATGCTCAACCAACTGAGCCACACTGGCCAGGGTTATTATCTCATTTTTATAGAAAAGAAATAGAACAGCTTAGGGAAATCATTTTCCCCAGTGTGACTGGTGGAGTTGGATTCAAGCCCAATCCTAACTCTAAAGCCCACATCTGTCACTTAACCACATAGTTAAAAAATGACCAAGGTTATAGTTCCCTCTTTTGGTGTGTTAACCAAGTGCACACACAGATGCAGGAAGTAATACAGTTGCACCCATACAATCGTCCCTCACCACTTCGCGTTCGCGGCTTCATTCTATTGTGGTTTTTTCCAGTTTGAAAAAACCGCGATAGAGCGAAGCCGGGAAAGTCGAAGCGTGAAGTGGCAAGGGATGACTATTTATTTTTTTATTTTATTTATTTATTTATTTATTCTTTTTTTTTTTATCCTCACCCAAGGACATTTTTCCATTTTTTGTTCTGATAGAGTGGGAGGGATGAGAGGAAGAGAGAGAGAGAAACATCGACATGAAAGGGACACATCGAATGGTTGCCACCCACATGACCGACCAGGGCTGGGGACAAACTGCAACCAAAGTACGTGCCCTTAGCGGGAACTGAACCCAGGTCTCTCTGGACCGCAGGCCGACGCTCTAACTGCTGAGCCAAACCGGCCAGGGCGAGGGATGACTGTTTAAATAAAGAATCCTACTTTGCGGAAATTCATTTATGGCGGTAGAGTCTGGAACTGATTAACCACGATAAATGAGGGCCGACTGTAATATGAATGTTGCTTTAGGTTTTTTACTCCCATAACTGGCATTGGTTTGTTGGTAGAAATGAATGCTTCAGAGGCTCAGCCAAGAAAGTAGACCTATCTTGTTTTTCTTCCATACTTTTACTGTTGACATCTGATCTGTGTATTAGGAAATAGAGACAGGTCATGAAGACTGACACAGGGTCATTAACATTCAACCACAAGATACCTGAAATAGTGACCATGAAAGTGGTAGACACTCCTCCTCCAACTTTCTTGGAAGAGTCAAATAACTAAAGACTAAAAAATACCAAATATCTAATGAGGCAGGGCCTTCGAGTTGGCCTAGGAAAGCAGAAGAGTATTTTTGAGCCAAAGAAACAGAAGAGAAAGAGGATTACAATGGAGACCTGCTGGCAGTGCATTACCTGTATAAAAGAAGCAGCCTGGCCAGTTTTGCTCAGTGGTTAGAGTGTCGGCCCGCAGACCAGAGAATCCTGGGTTCAATTCCCCCTAAAGGCACGTACCTCGGTTGCAGTTTGTCCCCACCCCAGTTGGGGTTGTGTGGGTGGCAACCAGTCAATATGTCTCTCTTACACTGATGTTTCTCTCTCTCTCTTACTCCCTCTCTCCCTCCCGCTGTCAAAAAAATTTTTTTAAATAGCCCTGGCCGGTTTGGCTCAGCGGTGGAACATCATCCTAAGGTCCAGAGAGACCCAGGTTTGGTTCCTGCTGGGGGCATGTACCTCGGTTGCAGTTTATCCCCAGCCCTGGTTGGGTCATGCAGGTAGCGACCACTCAATGTGTCCCTTTCATGTCAATGTTTCTCTCTCTCTCCCCCTCCCAATCTGAACAAAAAATGGAAAAATGTCCTCGGGTGAGGATAAAAACAAAACAAACAAATTTTAAATAAAAAATAAATAAATAATAAAAGAAAGCATTGATGCCCAGAGAACAAAAAGCAGTTGGCTCCTCAGAGCTCAACCTTGGACCAAACAGGACTTCTACATACATGTCTCCAAGGAAGCTTCTGCTCCAGTCAAAGTGGGAAGAGACCAGAACACCACCATCTAACAGAGCTCCTGTGAGCTCTTAGCTACAGAAGGGACAATGTGGTGATTAAATATTCAATCCCCACCATAGCTGCTGTCTAGGCAGCTCGAGGGGCTCAGTATAGGAAAAGCTCCAGCCATGACAGAAGGCAGGCATATCTACCCAAAACCTCTGAGGTTAACCTGAAAGTTAGGAGGATACGTTCTTTTTTTTCTATCCTCAACTGAGGACATTTTTTGATATTTTGTTCAGATAAAGTGGGGAGAGAAACATCGACGTGAAGGGACACATTGAGTGGCTGCCACCCGCACGACCAACCAGGGCCGGGGACAAACTGCAACCGAGGTACGTGCCCTTAGTGGGAACCGAACCCGGGTCTCTCCGGACCACAGGCCGACACTCTAACCGCTAAGCCAAACTGGCCAGGGCGGAGGATACATTCTTAATGAGGCTCTTATTGTGGTCCATCCCTGTTCCAGGGGGGGTTTGCTAAGCTCACAGCAAAGGGAGCCATAGATATTCTCCCTAACCTCTAACATGTGTGCACTCCTTCTCCCCCCCCACCCCAAGCAGGGGAAAATCCAGTCCTGTGGACAAAGGGTGGGGGCAGAGAAGTTGCTCCTCTAGGGCCTACACCCTGGAAGGATCAATACTGTGATGACCTGGTGAAAAGAATAAGAGACTACAGACCTATGAACTAAAAAAGTCCAGCATGGTCAGTGGGGATTGGAATTCAAGCCAAGTGAGCGAACCTGGTGATGCTAGGACAGGAGACAGAATTGTGCCTCTCAAATTCAAAGCTTTTGAAGTAGGATGTCACCTGTTAAGTGTCAAAAAGGCTATTATTTAATAAATCTCTAACTTCTTTTTTTCTTTTGTCCTCACCTGATGATATGTTTTTCACTGATTCTAGAGAGGAAGAGGGAAACATCAATGTGAGAAACACTGACCGGTTGTCTTCTGTTCACACCCCAAACGGGTCAAACCTGCAACCTGGGTATGTGCTTGACTGGGAATCAAACCCATGATCCCTCAGTGCATGGGATGCCTCTTTAACCAACTGAGCCACACTGGCCAGGGCTAACTTCTATCTTACTAAGGGTTGTTCTTCAGCAGTGTTTCACTTAATGTAGTGATTAATTCCCTCTGAAAATTAATTGTTCTTTTGAGAAATACTTCAATGGAAGCTAGAAGAGTACTGCTACTTATTGCAAGGGTGAACATAGAGGGAAAAAGTCCTGGGACAACCGTATCACCCAAAAGCATTTGTTGGTGCTGGGAGGAGTCTTTGGCATCTTCACTTTGAAAGAACCTATAGCTAGCACCAAGGAGCAATGAACAGGAAACACTTGGCCAAGAATGCTCAGGAGAAAAAGGGCACAGAAGGGCCTAAACCTGTACCTTCAAAGCATTAGGCCTGGGGGGAGGGCGGGGATGTGGAGTTAGAATGCATGTTCACTTCCTGAGAGATTCTCAGAATCTCCACTTAGTTTGAAAATAGACTCAGGCAAAGGGAAGTTTGGAAACTAACATTTATTGAGCGCCTACTGTGCATGTGTGGCCTTGTGCAAGGAGTTTTCATCTACAACATTCCATTTAATCCTCACATCAACCTTGAGAGGTAGGTATTATCCTCATTTTTGTCAGACGAGGAATATCAGGCTCAGAAAGGTTAGGTAGTTTGTACAAGGTCACACTACTAGTTACAATAGAGCTGGGCCTGAGTACTGAGTCTCAGACTCAGTAATTCCCTGCTCTCTCTCTGACACTGCCCCTCAGGAAGGAGGAGGGAGCGGGAGCAGCAGCAGCAGTCCTTACACTTCCCACAATGAGAAGCAAGATGGTCACCACCAGAAGCCTGTACTCTTCCACAGACCCTCCCCTCTCCACCTGGGGAAGATGCAATCAGTTGAAGAGATAAAACATAAATATAAAAATAAATAGAAGGAACAAGTCCCCCAGCAGCAAGGACATGCAGCATCCATACTGTGGGAAGGTCACTGTGCCATTCATAGCCGCTACGGAAGGGAGCCACACAGGCGTTGGGGGAAAAATTGGGACAGCAGGAGCTGAAGGCTGGAGTGGGTGGGCTAAATAGGCCCCTTCTGGGTCACAGAGATTTTAGAATAAAACGTCTGGAGCAAGTAGCAGCCACGGGCACAGTCACCATTATCCTCCATCGGCTCATTTTACCGCTGTTTATGATCCAAGAGGGATTCAAAATCAGGGGAACATACAAGTTTGTGCTTCACGTGTCCCAGGACTGTCATCTCCCCTGTCCTACTGTCTCCAAGGCCCACAGACACCAGCTCCTGCCAATCAACAGAGAAGGCAATAAGAACCAGAACCACACAGCCCATCAATCAGTCCTGATTTTAATGTGCTAATCCCAAGAACCCTTCTCCCTCATTTAGCACTGCTTCCTCTAAACTCGTAAACCTCCTAAAGGGCTTCTGCCTATGGGCTCTCACCTGCAGGAAAGAGCAGGTGGTTCCCATTGTTACATCCAGTGTCACCTTGCCCAGGAGGAGCTGTACCTTTCCCGACTTGCGGATGAGCAGCTTGCCAACCTGACCCTCTGTCAGGTCAGCCAGAGTACAAGCATTCTCTGCCAGCCTGGCTTCCTATGAAGAGAATCAGAGTATGAAATGGGGTAAGGAGCTGTCTCCTCTATCCTTCATGAACAAAAACATTTCCCAAAGGAAAGCATCAGCAGCAAAGGTTAGCATAAGCTCCCCCAAAAGGGCCTTTTCCTAGGGCTGCTTAACACTGGTTAAGGAACAAAACCCTGCCCTGGCCGGTTTGGCTCAGCAGTTAGAGCATTGGTCTGTGGACCAGAGAGTCTCAGGTTCGGTTCCTGCTAAGGGCACATACCTCAGTTGCAGTTTGTCCCCAGGCCCCAGTTGGGATCATGTGGGTGGCAGTCAGTCGATGTGTCTCTCTCACATCGATGTTTCTCTCTCTCTCTTCCTCCCTATCTCCCTCCTCCTCTATCTGAAGATAAATGCAAAAATGTCCTCAGGTGAGGATAAAAAAAAAAAGAAGAAGAAACAAAACCCGCCCGGCTCAGTGGTTGAGCGTCCACCCATGCACCAAGAGGTGAGGTTGCCAGTTCGATTCCCGGTCAAGGCACATGCCCAGGTTGTGCACCCAACTCCCAATGGGGGGCATGCAGGAGGCGGCCAATCGATGTTCTCTCTCATCGATGTTTCTATCTCTCTCTTTTTCTCCCTTCCTCTCTCGCTAAAATCAATAAAGAAAAAAAAATTTAAAACAGAAAGAAAGAAAAAACCCACAGCAAACAAATTTTAATGTTAATAACTGCTGAAACTGGTTAATGGCAGATGAGGGTTTAGGTTCTCTCATGTACAAGTATTTCATTATAAAAAGTAAACATACATATAACTGAGGTTGAAGTACAAAGCCCCAAACCCCTGCCCTGGCTGGTTTGGCTCAGAGGTTAGAGCGTTGGCCTACAGTCCAGAGAGACCGGGGTTCGGTTCCCACTAAGGGTGCGTACCTCAGTTGCAGTTTGTCCCCAGCCCTGGTTGGTCGTGAGGGTGGCAGCCACTCGATGTGTCCCTTTCATGTTGATGTTTCTCTCTATCTCTCTTTCCCCCTCCCACTCTATCTGAACATAAATGCAAAAATGTCCTCAGGTGAGGATAAACAAACAAATAAACAAACAAAAACAAAGCCCCAAACCCCTTATGGGAAGAAAGAACAAATGCATAGTATTTTTGCAATTCAGCTTGGGTGGCACACCTCTGCTTCACCCTACTGGTCAGTGCTTCACTTCCTAATCCATCCCCCCACATTCTCACAGAACTCATTCCTGGGCATACCCGATCTTTCTCCTGCTTTACAACCACCATCTGTCCATCCTCACTCTGTACTTCTGTCTTGATAGGCTTGATGTCCTGAGTTGGTGGCTGGCCAGGGAGCGTGTCTGGTAGCTGGAGGAACAGTAGTTCTTCCTCCTGTGTAAGGCTCAGCTCCCTGAGTAGCTCTGCCACAGAAACGTCTTTCGGGAGGCCCGGGGTCTTTCTGGCTGCTCTGGGAGGAGCCTTCATCTTGGCCTCCTCCTCCTCATCTCGTGGCTCCTCTTTCACTGACCGAAGTAACACAAATGGAATGGCTATCAAGTGATCACTTTCTGTCAAACATCTCATTGTACCCATCCCTTCACCCCCAAATGCTCTACTGTCACTCAGCCAGGAAGCTGGAGAGAAACACTGGTTGTGAAGAGGGATCCAGGGGTTGTGTAACTTATCTAATAAGGGGAATCTGTGGCTAGGCCCACTGGTCCATGTCAGCATGTCAGCATGAACCCTCTGAGTGAGACTTTAGTGTCTTTGTTCAGGCCATGTATTTTACAGCTGGAATAGAAGAGGACCTGCTTATTAGCAGCAATCTGTGAGGCCCATGGGGGTGGGAGGGCAGCCACAGAAAGAGATGAGATGTGAACTGACAAAGAGTACCTTTCACAACAGGCACATCCACCTCCATGTCTTCTTCCTTGGGGCCAGCAAGCCAAGGTTTAACATCTGGTTCCTCATTCTCTTCCTTAAACAGCCACCCAGAGTGAGCCAGAGGCAGCTGTACAGGCATGTTTCGAGTGTCATTCCTCAGCCCAGGGTCATCGATGAACTACCAAAGAAGAGTCAGCAGTTCACACACAGCCTGGCCAGCATATACACATACTATGATTGCAGTCCACTTTAGCCTCTTTCTAACTGAAGATTCCTCTGCTCACCAGGCTTCCATGACATCAGAGAACAATTCTTCCTCCAATCCTGAGGCCCTTCGCACAGCCATAAAGGCCCATCACACAAAATTAACATCAAGAAATCGACGGCATTCTTTTTTCTTTATTGATTTTAGAAAGAGGAAGTGAGAGGGAGAGATAGAAACATCCATGAGAGAGAACATCGATTGGCTGCCTCCTGCATGCCCCCGACTGGAGATTTAGCCCACAACCTGGGCATGTGCCCTGATAGGGAATCGAACTGGTGACCTCTTGGTGCATGGGTTGACCCTCAACCACTGAGCCACACCAGCCAGGCTCGACGTTATTCTTATACACCAATAATTAACTCCAGAAAGAGAAACTAAAAAAAAATCCCATTTACTATTGTAGCAAAAAAATTAAGATACCTAGGAATAAATTTAAACAAAGAAGTAAAGGACCTATTCATGGAAAACTACAGGACATTGAAAAAAGAAATAGAGGAAGATATAAAAAAGTGGAAGCATATACCTTGTTCGTGGATTGGAAGAATTAACATCATTATAATGTTCATACTACCCAAAGCAATCTATAAAGTCAATGCAATCCCCATTAAAATATCAATGACATATTTTACAGAACTAGAACAAATACTCCAAAAGTTTATATGGAACCATAAAAGACCTCAAATAGCCACAGCAATCTTGAAAAAGGAGAACAAAGTAGGAAGGATCACAATACCGGACATCAGGCTATACTACAAAGCCACTGTAATCAAAACAGCCTGGTACTGGCACAAGAACAGGAATATAAATCAACAGACCAGAACAGAGAACCCAGATCCAAGACATTATGCTTAATTAATACTTGACAAAGGTGGCAAGAGCATACAATGGAGTAAGGACAGCCTCTTTAATAAATGGTGTTGAGGTCCGGCAGGTGTGGCTCTGTGGTTGAGCATCAACCCATGCACCAAGAGGTCGCCAGTTTGATTCCCAGCCAGTGCATATGCCCAGGTTGTGGGCCAAATCCCCAGTGGGGGGCATGCAGGAGGCAGCCAATCGATGATCTGTCTCATCGATATTTCTATCTCTCTCTCCCTCTCCCTTCTTCTCTAAAATCAATAAAGAAAAAAAATATTAAAATAAATAAATAGATGGTGTTGGGAAAATTGGACAGCTACATGCAAAAAAATGAAACTAGACCACTTACTTACACCATACACAATAATAAATTCAAAATGGATAAAAGACTTAAATGTGACTTGTGAATCCATAAAAATCCTAGAAGAAAATGTAGACAACAAAATTTCAGACATCACATACAGCAGAATTTTCACTGATACAACACCTAAGGCAAGAGAAACAAACAAACAAAAATGAACACATGGGACTACATCAAACTAAAAAGCTTCTGCACAGCACAAGAAACAAGCATCAAAATGTAAAGGGAACCCACTATATGGGAGAGCATAATTGCCAAGGATACATCAGATAAGGGGTTAATTTCCAAAATATACAGAGTGCTCATACAACTCAACAAAAGGAAGACAAAGAACCCAATTAAAAAATGGGCAGAGGCCCTAGCCAGTTTGGCTCAGCAGTTGGAGTGTTGGCCTGCAGACCAGAGTCCCGGGTTCGGTTCCCACTAGGGGCACGTACTAAAAAAAAAGGGCAGAGGACCTAAATAGACACCTCTCCAAAAAGGACATACAAATAGTCAAGAGACATGAAAAAATGCTCAACATCACTAATCATCAGAGAGATGCAAATTAAAATGACTATAAGGTATCACCGCATACCTGCCAGAATGGCAGCCATAACAAATCATCAAACAACTGCTGGCAAGAGTGTAGAGAAAAAGAGGACTCTACTACATTGCTGGTGGGAATGCAGACTGGTGCACCCACTGTGGAAAACAATATGGTGTTTCCTCAAAACATTAAAAATTGAACTTCCATTTGACCCAGTGATCCCACTTTTAGGAATATAGCCTAAGAAGCCTGAAACACCAATCAGAAAGAATATATGTACCCCTATGTTCATAGTAGCACTATTTACAATTGCTAAGATCTGGAAACAGCCCAAGTGTCCATCAATAGATGAGGGAATAAAAAAAGCTGTGGCACATATACACAATGGAGTACTATGCAGCTGTAAAAAAGATCTCTTATCCTTTGAGACGACATAGAGGGACCTGGAGAGTATTATGCTAAGTGAAATAAGCCAATCAGAGAAAGACAAATATCATATGATCTCACTTATTTGTGGAATATAATGAACAAAATAAGCGGATGAACAAAACAGACCAGAGAAATCAAAGTAGGGTTCAGACTGACAAACCTCAGAGGCGGTGGGTGGGGAGTGGGCGGGGAGATAAACCAAAGAACTTATATGCATAACCAATGGACATAGACAACAATGTTGTATGTATGTGTGTGTGTGTGGGGGGGGGGGGTCTGGAGGAGGGTGTCAATGGGGGGAAAAGGAGAAACATTGGTAACTAAAATAAATAATTAAAAAAAATAAAATAAAGGCCTATCCCCCCAGCCTGCTGGTACCTACATCATCCTTCTCCAGCATGCGCAGGATCTGTTTTGTTTCTTCATCTGTCTCCCTCTTCTCTTTTTTGATGTTGATGATATGAGAGGGCCCCATGTCAGACACATCCACTGTCTTATCCCAGTTCCCTGTGGGAAATAACCCATTTCACCAGGGGTAAGGAAGAGGCCAACAAAGAAAACTAAATTGGAAGCAGGGGAATTTCATTGCTCTTGCCCTTCTCTTAAACAGTCTGAACTGAAATCCACTGATCCCTTCCTCCCGGAGCACTGGCAGCTTTTGTACCCTTCTTCTTCATCATTTCAGCTGGGCCCTGCTCAAAGATGGAATGGGACTGGATCACTTCTGGGCGACTACGGCCCCGTCCATGCCCCTCTCTTTGTCGGTCTCTATCCCTTTCACGCTTCTCCTTCTTGATGGTTACTTCTTCCTTGGGCCTGGAAAAGAGACTGGATTAAGGGAAACCGCTCACTTACCCTGCCTTGGGGAATTGGTCTTATTCTTCTACATATCTGTACTCCAGCTGAGCCAACAACTACATCATAAGAAACAGAATCCAATCCTAAATCTAACACCTTTTTCACTTCCTTGATGGGCAGAGTCTTTTCAGTTTGCTTTATTTTATCTTGTTTGAGAGTATATATTAGAACTGTAACTTAAAAATTGAATTATAGAGCCTGCCATAAAATATAAGTTTTTTTTATATTGATTGAATAAAAGGAAGGCTGTGATATAAAAGAACTTAAAGGAAAACTTAATACATCTTTGTCTAAACTAGTGGCTCTCTCTACTCTGGCTGTAAAAGATAATCACTCTGTTTACAAGTTACATCACAAGTTCTTGGAAGGGCTCCCAGGCATCAGTATTTATTTATTCCTTACTCAAGGATATTTTTTTCCACTGATTTTTTAGAGAGAGTGGAAAAGAGGAAGAGGGAGGGAAGGGAAGAGGAAGAGAGAAATAGAGGGAGAGGGAGGGAAACACAGATGTGAGAGATATATTAAACCTGCAACCCAGGAATCATACTTGTGACCCTTTGGTGCAAGAGCCAACACTCTAATCACTGAGCCAACCTGACAAGGACATCAGTATTTTTTAAAAGCTTGCACATTACGCCCTGGCCAGTTTGGCTCAGTGGTTGAGCGTCGGCCTGTGGACCAAAGACTCCCGGGTTCAGTTCCCGCTAGGGGCACGTATCAACCCCCCCCACCCAAAAAGAGCTTGCACATTATGCCCTGCTGGTGTGGCTCAGTGGTTGAGTGTCGACCCATCCACCAAGAGGTCGCTGGTTCCATTCCCAGTCAGGCACATGCCAGGGTTGTGGGCATGCAGGAGGTGGCCAATCGATGTTCTCTATCATCGATGTTTCCCTCTCTCTCTCTAAAAATTAATAAGAAAAATAAATAAATAAATAAATAAATAAATAAATAAATAAATAAATAAAAGCTTGCACATTAGAATCAGCTGGGAGCCAGGGTTTAAAAGAACTAAATACACAAATTTAAATTTCCATGCTACATACCTACTTATTTCGCAAAAGGCCCAAATTCAGAGCAAGTAAACGGGTGAGCATTCAAAGGGCCTAGCTACTTACTCTTCCTTGATCTTCCGACTGATGATATTTGGGGTGAAGGTTTTCTGAAAGTGAAATATAGATAGGAGTCATCGATTTGGTAATTTATGATCCCAAGCACTAAGGAAAAGAAAAACCCCAAAGGGGATCTTCTATGGACCAAGACCACAACAGCTCTCTTTTGTACATTCCACACTGCTGTCAGAGATTTACAGAGATGGAGACGTGTTTGAAAAGGAGAACTGGCAAGTCATGGTGGCAGCAGTTACATACAAAGGGGCACCAAAACCCATTTAAACTAGCAGTTTCAGTTCTCTCCTTTGAAAGGAGAGCCCTCAGTACTTCTAAATATATTTCTTATGATATTTTTAGAGATAGAGGAAAGAAGAGAGAGAAACATCGATGTGAGAGAGAACCATCCATCAGCTGCTGGATGCACGCCTCCTACTGGGGACCGAGCCTGCAACCCAGACACACCCGATCGGGAATCCAACCAGGACCTCAGTCCATGGGATGAGAGGCTCAATGCACTGAGCCACACCGGCTGGGCTGGGGCTTCTAAAAGCAGAGGAATTTATCTAATTTCACCTCGTCTTCAAACTGCCACAGAGGGCAGTATCACAGGGAAACAGCTCAAGCAGGAAAGACAGAGATCTGCCAGTACTCACAAACAGATGGTAGGTTAGGCTGTCACCAGAATTTATCTAGGCAAACTTAAGTCTTTTCTTAAAAATGGCTACTTTATACTTGTCATTGCCCAACTCCCTGCTTTCAGGGCGACTCTTCACATCTACGATCATAAATATAATGGAAGAGGACACAGACCCTCTAATGCCATGCCTAGAATTCATTATACGTTAGACCAGATGTGCACACACTGGGATCCATCGCAAATTCTGAACTCCGTAAAACTGCAGGCAAACTTTATGCCTACGTAACATTCACGGGTTTCTTAAAGGTGTCCAAACACAGAAAAAGTAAATAGACACTGCTCAAGGTGCTTTTAAACTAATTAGCATTCTTTGTCCTTCAGCCATCTCTGAGAACCAGGTCAAAAGCTTGTTTCCAGCATCTAGACTAGACTTCAAGGTAGGTGAGGCCGCCCAGAATTTGCAGGCGGAAGTCGGGGGACGAGATCTGTCAGGCCCCAAACCAAGCCTGGCACACAGTAGGCCCTACATGAACATCGTTGAACCCCAGGGGCCTGAAATTCAAGGTAGTCGGGTACCTTCTTGACTCCCCCGAGGGTGAGATCCCTGGAGCGGATGGAGGGAAGGCGGCCCGGGGTGAGGTGTGGCGCCGGCCGCTGTCCAATAAGCCCCCGGGCCCCAGAGAGGAGGGTTCGGGGCCCTCCTGGAGCGCTGGGCTTGCCAGCAGCGTTTTCTCCTGACATGTTGCCTGGAAGAGAAGAGGACAGGGGCAACAATCTAGAGGATAGACCCGCGGACCCTGGGCTGGACCCCACCCACCTGGCCGCTCGCCTCTCCAGTCAGTGCGTCCCTCCCTCGGAATTTCAGCTCCTCCCCTCCCACGTGGCGACTCCCTGGGCCACCCCGGCCAGAGCCCTTGGCGTGCCCTCTCCCCAGGCCCCGTGAGGCAGGGATGCACCCAACGCACCCCGACTCCACACCGAGACGGTCGCGACTTCAGTTCCAGCGCGGCCCGCAAGTGGCCCCAGGTCTCGGCGTGGGGCGGAAGTCTGCGTGGCAGGGCCGACCCGCCGCCATCTTGCCGCGAGGCGGAAGTGAGGTCGGTGGGCGGGGCCGTTCACACTATTTATCTGGCGGCGCCCCGCTCGCCTCCGCCTTCTCTTCCCGGTTCTTCCCGGAGTCGGGAAAAGCTGGGTTGAGAGGGCGAAAAAGGAAGAGGGGACTGTTCCTAGTTACGCCTCGGGGATCTTAGCCTGGCGCGGAGGGTGGAGGGTGGAGGGTGGAGGCGCCCAGTTCTGGGTGTGGGGACCTTGGCGGCCGTCGTCACGCGATGTGGGGATTCTCCACGGAGGAGGTCTGGGGCATTGGGGTCGCGGCTCCGAATGGGGCGAGGGGCGCCGGGGAAAGATTGGGACCCGGACTGAGTCGGGGAACCCGGGCCGGGCTGCGGGCTCGATGGTGACCTTGGCATGGTCACTGCACTTCTGGGCAGCGGCGTCGCCCTTGCTCGGGGATCCCTTCCCTGAATTTCTGGTGGAGTCCTGGGCTGAGGCTGTGCTGCCGTTTTGGAGCCGCTGCAGCGGACCCACCGAGGAACTGCATGGTACCCACCCTGGGCTCTTCGTGGGCTCCTGGTCCAAGCCTGGAACCTGAAAAACGAAGTTTGCTCTCCTGGGAGGGACGAATTCAAAGAACTTTTATTGTGACTCCGACATTTGTAGTTTACCATAAAAAATATCCTTTACTATTATTCCCCCACCACCACACCATGTAAAAACATTAGGGAAAGTTTGAGGGACGGAAAAACATTTCTGCTATAATTCCACATGGAATACTATTAAAACTTTTGTGATATGTTCCAGTCACCTTCACAGAGCTGTCCTATTGTACTACAATTTTGAATCCTCCCTTTTCGAACAACATTTCTTTGTTGCTCTATCAAAAAACGGTAATTCTCAGGTGGCTGTCATGATTCGCCTAGTTTCCTGTTTGGACACTTACATCGTTTCTTTTCCCTGTTGTAAATAACGCTGGTGCAATTGACATTTTTTCTTCTTTTGGATTATATCCCTAGGCCGAATTTCTAGACTTGTGATAACTGGCCAAATGATGATGTACTTTTTCCTCCGGTAATTTTTTTACTTTGAGATAATTGTAGACACACGTGCAGTTGTAAGAAATAGTGCAGAGATCCCAGGTACCCTTTACTTAGTTTCCCTCAATAGTAACATATTGGAGCCCTGGCTGGGTGGCTCAGTTGGTTGGCATGTGGTCCATACACCAAAAGGGCGTGGGTTCTATTCCTGTCAGGGCACACACCCAGGTTGCTGTGGGATCCCCAGTTAGGGCGAGGCTGGGTGGCAACCAAGTGATGTTTCTCTCATATCGGTTTTTCTCTCCCTGTCTCTCTCTCTCGCTTTCTCTCTCCTCCTTTCTCTCTCTACCTATAATAAATAAACATATCCTCAGGTGAGGTTAAAAAAAAAGTAGTCCTGGCCAGTTTGGCTCAGCGGTTAGAGCGTTGGCTCACTGACCAAAGAGTCACGGGTTCGATTCCGGTCAAGGGCACATGCCTTGGTTGCAGTTCGTCCAAGACCCTGGTTGGGAGACAACCAATCTATGTGTCCCTATCACGTCGATGTTTCTCTCTCTCTCCCTCCCTCCCACTCTATCTGAGATAAATAGAAAAATATCCTCAGGTGAGGATTAAAAAAAAAAAAAGTAACATTGATACAGTCAAAATACAAGACACTTCCATCATCATAAGAATCACTCCTGCTGCCCCTTTGTAGCCACACCTCCCTCCCACCCACCCCTGACAACTACTAACTTGTTCTTTATTTTTATACTTACATTATTTCAAAAGTGGAAATCATTCAAAAAATGGAATCATACAGTATGTGACTTCTTGGGATTGCTTTTTTTACTGAGCACAATTCCCTGGAGATTATCCAAGTTGTTTATCATTAGTTTGTTCCTTTTGTTACTGAGTATCCTTGGTTGGTATAACCACACCTTGAAGGACATGTGGGCTGTTATGAATAAAATTGCTGTGAATATACATGTATAGGTTTTTGTGTATACACAAGTTTTCATTCCTCTGAGATAAATGCCCAAGAGTACAATTGTTGAGTCAAATGGTAGTTGTATGCTTACCATACAACTGCCAAACTGTATCCTCAGTGGCTGTACCATTTTGAATTTATATTTTTTTATGTTTTTATTGACTTTTATTTATTTTTATTTTTTATCCTCACCTGAGGACATTTTTCCAATTTTTGTTCAAATAGAGTGGGAGGGAGAGAGAGAGAGAGAGAGAGAAGCATCAACGTGAAAGGGACACATCGAGTGGTCGCCACCAGCACGATCCAATCAGGTCTGGGGACAAATTGCAAACGAAGTATATGCCCTTAGCGGGAACCGAACCCGGGTCTCTCTGGACCGCAGGCCGACGCTCTAATCGCTGAGCCAAACCGGCAGGGCTATGTTTTTATTGACTTTTAGAAAGAGAGGGAGAGGAGCCCTGGCTGGTTTGGCTCAGCAGTTAGAGCGTCGGCCTGCAGTTCAGAGAGACCTGGGTCCGGTTCCCGCTAAGGGCATGTACCTCGGTTGCAGTTTATTCCCGGCCCTGGTTGGGTTGTATGGGTAGCAACCAGTTGATGTGTCCCTTTCACATCAATGTTTCTCTCTCTCTCCCTTCCTCTCTCTCCCTCCCACTCTATCTGAACAAAAAATGAAAAAATGTCCTCTGGTGAGGATGAAAAAAAAAAGAAAGAAAGAAAGGTATAAAGAAAGAGGGAGAGGAAGATAGAGAGAGAAACATCAATGTGAGAGAGAGACATTGATTGGCTGCCTCCTGCATACACCCCCCCCCCCCCCCCCCAGGGATCGAGCCCTAAACCCAGGCATGTGCCCAGAATGGGAATCAAACCAGGGCCTCTCAGTCCATGGGATGACACTCAATCCACTGAGCCACACTGGCCGGGCTGGCTGTACCATTTTGAACATACACATTTTACATTTCTTCAACATATTGCTAAATTGCTTTAAAAAGGGGTTGTGTTAATATGCATCACCACTAAGAATGTATGTGTATATAGTATTTAAGAATGCATATAATATTTTTCCATATCCTTTTGAGTAGCGCTCTTAAACTTTTTGTCAATTTAATAATATATTAATATTTTATGATTTCTAATCAGACTTTTTAAACTTCTCTTCTTACTGATTTTATGATTACCAAACCTAACCAAAGAAAAACCCTTCCTATCCCCTGCAGACCTACACACAGTAGCCTTTAGCTTCTGACTGGAGCACTAGATGAAATTGCTTTTATTTCATTCTCTGGGCTTTAAGGTCCACCAACGTTTTAGCAGTTCCTTGATTTTGGTTTTTTGTTTGTGTTTTTTTATTACATCACCCGAGGACATTTTTGCATTTATCTTCAGACAGAGCAGGAAGGAGAGAGGGAGGAAGAGCGAGAGAGCAACATGGATGTGAGAGAGACACTTCGACTAGTTGCCACCTGCACGGCCCCAACCCCCAACCAGGGCGGGTTCGAATGGCCACCCAGGTACATGCCCTTAGCGGGAACCGAACTGAAACCGGGACTCTGGTCCGCTGGCTGATGCTCTAATCGCTGAGCCAAACTGGCTAGGGCTGTTTGTTTTTTATTTTAACAAAGATACTTATTCATTATAGAAAATTTGGAAAAACTTTAAAAGCACCCAGAAGAAAATTAAAATCACTTTTTATTATCCCCTCAACTATTCTGTTACTTGAAGTCGTTTTTCTATGCATGCAGATTTTTTTTAATTGAGGTATTTTGCATATAGTTCTGCAATTTATTTTTCTTTTAACAATATACTATAAACATTTTCTGAGTTATTAAATATGCTTCTATATTATGATTTTTAGTGACTAAATACATAGTACTCAACATTATTGTCTTGTACCATAATCTAACCAATTTCCTCCCTGCAATGCTTTTTTAGGTTTTCCCAGCATTTTTCACCCAAAAGGACAAGAGGAGAGAAGACTTAACTCAAGTCTTCCACCTTTAACATGTGGGTCATAATTACCATTATAATTTCTTTTTACTTTTTTTTTCATTCCTCACCCAAGAACATTTTTCCATATTTTGTTCAGATAGAGTGGGAGGAAGAGAGAGAGAGAGAAACATCGACATGAAAGGGACACATCGAGTGGTTGCTACCCGCACGACTCAACCAGGGCCAGGGACAAACCGCAACCAAGGTACATGCCTTTAGCGGGAACCGAACCCGGGTCTCTCTGGACCGCAGGCCGATGCTCTAACCGCTGAGCCAAACTGGCCAGGGCTGTAATTTTCTTTTTAAAAGATTCTTCAGGTAGCTCAGTTGATTAGAGTGTGGTCCTCATATGCCAAGGTTGAGGGTTTGATCCCCGTTAGGACACATACAGGAATCAACCAATGCACCCTGGCCACTTTGGCTCAGTTGGAGCATCAGCCTGAGGACCAGAGAGTCCCGGGTTCGGTTTCCGCTAGGGGCATGTACCAAAAACAAAACAAAACAAACAACAACCAATGAGTGCATAAATAAGTGGAACAATAAAGGGACATATCTCTCTCTCTCTCTGTCCCCCTTCTTCTCTCTCTCTGAAAATCAATAAATAAATTTTAAAAAGAAGATTCTTCAACCTATCCTCTCATTAGACTATTACACTTTCAACACCATTCTGCTATTTTCTTTACTTGTTCCAACACCTCCTTCTTCATTTTCTCCCAAAAACTGTTCACTTTTATCTAGGCTCAAAAGAAACTTGTAAAACACTATTAACTAAATTCTGTGTAATCACATCTGTGATTCTAACAGATCTTAATTTGTTTTCATAACATTTTGTTGCATTTTATTTTTATATATTTTATAGTAAAGACAATCTCATTCTTTTCTGATGACTTAATGAAACTAATAATCAAACTCTTCAGAACAAATATAGTTTTCTGGGTCTAAGTACAGGTCTTCAGAAGGTATAAACAGATTCTGTCAAAAGCCTGTTTCTGTGAATTCTTTTTTGACCCTCACTCAAGGACATA